CGGCACCCAGGGGTGCCCCTGCATGTTTTGCATCCCATAGAAGCTCCCCAGCACCCAGGGGGGCTCTGCCAGCCCCTTGCGCCCTATAGACACCCTGCAGCACCCATGGGTGCCCGGGAGGTTTTGCACCCCATAGATACCCCCCCAGAACCCATGGGTGCTCTGCTAGTCCTTTTGTCCCAGAGAGTCCCCACAGAACCCAGGGGTGCCTCTGGAGGTTTTGCACCCCATAGACACCCTCCCCAGCACCCATGGATGCTCTGCCACCCCTGTGCACCAGACAAATGCACCCCCAGCACCCATAGGTGCCCCTAGAGCCCCTGCATCCCACAGACACCCCACAGCAACCATGGGTGCTCTGTCAGCCTCCTGCATCCCCACAGATGCCCCTGGAAATTTTTGCATCCCAGAGACACCTCCCCAGCACCCATGGGTGTCCCTGGAGCCCCCACACTTCATGGACAACCCCCAAACACCCTTAGGTGTCCCACCAGACTTCACACCCCAGGGAGATAACCCAGAACCTCCTACATCCCCATTGCCCCCAAGCACCCATATGCCCCACCCAAACCATTCCCCCCCTCAGCTCCCATGGGTTTCCCACCTGCTGGGCATCCCCCTCAGTGTAGGGCAGCTTGGTGGAGACATGGAACATGATCTCCTTGTCACGGAAGTGGCAGTAGATGGACTCGCTGCCCGTCTGCCCGTGGGTCACATCCAGCCCCCCCAGGAACCTGGGTGGGGGGGAGAAACAGGCACCCTGAACCTGGAAGTCCATGGGTGCCCACCCCCGAAGTCCCTCAGCTGCACCCGCTGACCCAGGACGTCGAGGAACTCGGTGAAGGCCGCGCTCTCCTCCGTCGTGCCAAAAAGCTCCTCCTCAGAGGTCTGTAGTGGGGAGGGAGATGGGTGCCAGCACCCACCCGGGACCCCCCTCCCTCCCCGACCCTGACCACCACCCGTCCCACCCCATACCTGCCCCAGTTTTTGGTAGATGACCCCAAACTTGAAGTGGTTGCTGAGCACGTGCTCGTCGAAGGCGAGGATGAGGCGGGATGCCTGCAGGGGAGGGGGTTGGGTGGGGGAGCACCCATGGTTGTTTGGGAGCACACATGGTTGGTGGGAGCACCCATGGTTGGTTGGGAGCACACATGGTTGGTTGGAGCACCCATGGGTGCTCCCAACCCCCCCAACCCTTGATCACCTTGGGGTAGAGCACGGGGTAGAAACGATCCACATTGACGTCCTCACACACCAGCTGTGGGAAGGACGGGTGATGTGATGGGGTGGCTTGGGGTAGGGGGGCACCCATGGGTGCTGCCCAGAGGTTTTGCACCCACCTTGGCCATCTGGACGACGTTGGGGAACTCAGCCAGGCAGGAAATGGGCACCACGTCGTGCAGGGTGCGGGCGCGGGTGCTGTGGGGTGAGGCAGGGTCAGGGTGGTCCCCCATCTCCAGCCAGCACCCATGGGTGCCCCCTGGCACCCTGCTCACCGCAGCAGCAGGTGGAGATGCTCCTGCTCATCATACTTGAGGGAGAAGACGAGGTGGCCCAGCACCGGGTCCAGGGAGTAGTAGTTGAAGTGCTCCTGCAGGGAGGGGGCCAAGCACCCATCACCGCGCCAGTGGGTGCTCAGGCAGGCAGGCACCCCTGCCATGGGGCACCCGTGCCCATGAGGACCAAGGGCCGTGCGCACCTGCCAGCACCCACCCGGGACCCCCCTCCCTCCCCGACCCTGACCACCACCCGTCCCACCCCATACCTGCCCCAGTTTTTGGTAGATGACCCCAAACTTGAAGTGGTTGCTGAGCACGTGCTCGTCGAAGGCGAGGATGAGGCGGGATGCCTGCAGGGGAGGGGGTTGGGTGGGGGAGCACACATGGTTGGTTGGGAGCACACATGGTTGGTTGGGAGCACACATGGTTGGTTGGAGCACCCATGGGTGCTCCCAACCCCCCCAACCCTTGATCACCTTGGGGTAGAGCACGGGGTAGAAACGATCCACATTGACGTCCTCACACACCAGCTGTGGGAAGGACGGGTGATGTGATGGGGTGGCTTGGGGTAGGGGGGCACCCATGGGTGCTGCCCAGAGGTTTTGCACCCACCTTGGCCATCTGGACGACGTTGGGGAACTCAGCCAGGCAGGAGATGGGCACCACGTCGTGCAGGGTGCGGGCGCGGGTGCTGTGGGGTGAGGCAGGGTCAGGGTGGTCCCCCATCTCCAGCCAGCACCCATGGGTGCCCCCTGGCACCCTGCTCACCGCAGCAGCAGGTGGAGATGCTCCTGCTCATCATACTTGAGGGAGAAGACGAGGTGGCCCAGCACCGGGTCCAGGGAGTAGTAGTTGAAGTGCTCCTGCAGGGAGGGGGCCAAGCACCCATCACCGCGCCAGTGGGTGCTCAGGCAGGCAGGCACCCCTGCCATGGGGCACCCGTGCCCATGAGCACCAAGGGCCGTGAGCACCCATGCCTATGGGGCACCCATCTTGTAGATACTGATACGTTCTGCATGCCTGTGGACACCCATGTCTAGAAGCATCCATGCCATGGGGCACCCATAACCCTGAGCACCCACAGCCCTGAGCACCCATCTCCATGGGGCACCCAGGTCCATGAGCACCCATCCCCACAGATACCACCACCTACAGAGCACCTGGACTGGTGGGCACTTGTGCAATGGGCCATGCACACCTGTGAGCACCCATGCCATGGGGCACCCCTACCCGTTGGCACCCATACCTATGGAGCCTACATGCCCATGGACACACACTCTGATGGGTTACCCATGTCCCTGAGCACGCATATGCACAAGTACCCATGTCCACAAGTACCCAGGTCCATGAGCACACATACCCATGAGGCTCCCATGCCTATAGATACCCATGAGTCACCCATGTCCCTAAGCATCCATATGAATAAGCACCCATGCTATAGGGTACCCAGGTCCATAAGCACCCATTCCCATGGTGGTCTAGTGACCACAGACACCACCCACATCCATGAGCACCCAGATGCATGAGCACACGTGCCACGTGGCATCCACGTCCATGAGCACCCATCCTCATGGGTCTCCTATGTCCATAGATACCGACACCTCCAGGAGCACCCATGTTTATGGGGTCTCCATGCCCACCCACCCCCATGGGGAACCACCCACTGCAGCACCCATGCCTGGAGCACCCTCAGGGACCTCACCTTGCCCAAGAAGTGCTTGCGGTAGATCTTGGCCGTGTGGTTGCCCTCAAGCTTTGCCCGGGTGCTGGGTGCAGGGGTGGGGGGGGATGTGGGTGCCTCGCTCAGCTGGTGGTTGGTGCCCTCGATCCAGTAACCCCCAAACTGCGGCAGCAGGATGAGGGGGAACGGCCCCTCCCGGCCAAGCACCTGCACCCACAGCCCAGGTGGGTGCTCAGGTCACCCACCCATCAACCCAGCTCCCACCCACCCCCTTGCACCCATCTGGGGGGCAGCGGGTGCTCTACCTCGTGCACGCTGGGGTAGGGGATGTAGTCCTCCTCTGTCTGCAAGGCAATGGGGGGGTGAAGGCCACTCTAGCACCCATGGGTGCTGGTTGGGTGCCCCCCATGCCCCAGTGACACCTACCTTGAGTGGTGGGGGCACGTGTCGCTGCTGGGCCATCCTGCTGCCCTGCGGGACACGGGGGCTGTGGGTGCCCAGCACCCAGCACCCTGCCTCGGGATGGGCACCCTTGGGTGGGGAGCGCCCACGGGGGGCTTACCTCGGGGTGGGG